CCGCTGTTGAAATCAGAGCAAAGTGGTCTGCTGCCAAATTGCCCACAGCTGGAATTGAACCAGATAACTCAGAATTACAAACCATGTTTGCAATTGCTAAGCCCCACTGCCCCCTTAATAAAAAATGTAAAATGTGACTAAGGATTTGCAGAAACTGGATGTGTTGGGCTGAAAGGCACAGATATCACAGCCTGGCTGTAAACTACAACATAATGTGCCAACCCCCCCCCCCCCTTTTTTTTTCCCTTAAAGATTAATGCAGAAGAAGAAAAAAATGAACTAAATATAAATATAATGAAGTAATAATTTAAAATAAGTCTTAAGAGAATTCATAACCAATCAACTAACAAGCTATGAGGTACACACAACAGGTAGAAGCATGTCTGCCAGCCTTAGGGTCAAATCAGCATCGAGTCTAATTTTATTATTTTCAAAAATTACCTTGTATCTCAGGTCAACACAGCCTCAAATGTATACCAAGTAAATATTCTCGGAAGCAAAGGCGACCGGCATGGTACTGACCGCATCACTCATTGAGTTCCGATTGGTCTATAAAAATAGTCTAGCATCATATGCTCGATTAGCCCCTGGCATGAAAAAGGTCTTTTTATTTTGGAATTAGGAAACTGCATACATAATTCCTAAGCCACAGATTCAAATTCCTAAGCCACAGATTCAAATTCCTAAGCCACAGATTCAGAGTCCAGCAAAAAAAAACACAGCAACAACAAGAATTTCTCTTCTTGGTGTTTTCTGGCAGAAAATCCTGGTGGTTCATAAACTTCTGGACTTTAGCCTTCTTCCAGAATTTGGATTATGAATGCAGATCAGGTTTACAGATCTGGTGCTTACTTGTGCTAACCCCTGGTTCCTTCTCTCCCTGTCTGGCAGATGCACTCTAAGGAAAACCCCTAATTAATCGCCTTTTACAACAGGCTTGTTAGAGGGGCAGTGGGTCTAATCTCCCCCCCCCCCCCCACACACCCCCCCCCCCCCAAAAAAAAAAATTATGTCCCAGGACCCACACGGGGTCAACAAGAATTCCATGCTAAATAGAGAGAAAAAAAAATACTGCATATTTAAAAAGATAATGTTTTTTTTAAAAACACTAACCATTATTAGTGACGATGGCATCAGTGTTTGAGCTGCCATAGGTGTTTATATGCTGAATGGCCTCATCAACATCATCCACAACTTCCACTGCACACTCCAAGGCCCCATACTCTGTCCGCATAGACGCCGTCACTGAAGGACCAAATCTCAGAACCTGGCTCAAATTTGGCCCTGCATGGATTTTTACCTAGTAAAAGTAGAACATTATTAAAAAGGCATCTGAGTTAAAAAGTCTGGGAACAACATTTATGAAATTGGATGAAGAAATTAACATCAGATGCAGTAAATTCAAAGTACTGGGACAACTTTCCACACCCCCTCCCCCCCCCCCCCCCCCCTTTTTTTCTGCCATATTTGTTTCCCACAGCATAAGACAAGCCCAATCAGCACAAAGAAACATCTTTCACAACACATTTTCATTCCAACCCTACACTACCAGTGCCAAACATGGTCACTCAGACACACACACAAAACCAGAAAAGAAAATTACTGACCATGGAAACGAGATGTCTGAGAAAGACAGCAGGAGTGACCAGAAATGATACAATTCTAAATCAGGTCAAAAAAAGAAAAAAGTCGGCATAGAACCAATTCTAAATTTAATATAAAGACAGCAAATCAAATGATCTGCCCATCCACTTAGAGAGAATGCCTTCATTCAATACAAGGCATACAACAAAAAAGTGGTTCACTGCTAATTCAACTGTAGCTGAATCGAACCTCTGCATGTTAGATTTATGAAACTCCAGTCATAACCCTTAATCCGCAGATGCAGAAGAGAAGAATCCAGAATAGTCCAAGATGTTACTTGACTAAAAGGTAAAGATAAGAGAGAACAAAAATAAAATCCTAATCTGCACAGTCCAGTGTGATGGCACTAGCCATGTTGGCCCTACATCTTCGAGCTTAAAAAAAAAAAAACTCCCTGCCTACACCGCAAAAGTGGCAAATATAGACAGTAATGGCAGTTAAGATTTTTTTTGGCAGTACTATAAGATTTATTACACTACTGTTTATATTACTCACAATCACTGTTATCACACTATAAATTATATAATTAATTATCACTGATGTCACCCGGCAATAACACAGAAGCAGCTATATGAATTAACAGTATATAAAGTAAACACCCTTTTCTATGCCTTCAGGCGTACTGAGTACAGAGTGCTAAACCAATATTTTACAGAACCATCGGCACTCAGTGGTTGATGTGGTGAGCATCGCATCAGCTGCCTTTACTTCCCAGGACTTTAAACTGGCACCCACTGAAGGCTGTGTCGACCTGACAGCCATGGTCATTCCTGAAAAAAAAAAAAAAAGACAGGCTGCGTCAGGACCCGAACCCAGGACCTTCCAGCGCCTGGTCACCTCACCACATAGGCTCCAAACAGTATATAAATCATTACTATCACTGATATCACATATTACTTCTTCTTCTTCTTCACGTTCACTGGCTGTAAACTCCGGTGGAAAGTTCTGGTTGTTTGTACACTTCTGGACTGCAGTGCTGTTTTCAGAATCTGAGTGCTGTGTGTGCATCCGCTTGATAGATCTGACTTATCTGCATGCAGACTGTTGGTTCCTTTCCTCTCAGGCAGATGCACTCCGACTTTGAAGGAAGCTCCCAATTAGTCGACTCTTATGACATGCTTTTGGGTAGGCAGTGGGTCTATTTGTTTTTCACACACTACTACATCAACCTCTGCAAATGCCACTCACCCCTTGATGTTTGAGCATCTCACACAATCTATCAAAGAGTTTACCCTCCCTGTGGGACTTGTGGATAAGCAAAGACTCCATGCTGTTACAGGCAGCAGGATAGTCACACTTGGCATCCTTCACTGCAGAGAGAAAACAAACAAGGGTGTTCCGAGGATGTCAACAATTTGTAACAGGCATCTGGCAGACAAGATATAACAGAAAATCACTTCCTGTGTCTGGATACACATCATCTTCTTTGTCTTAGCATTCACCTACTGTAAACTTCAGTTCTTGTTTTTCATCCACTTCTGAAATTTAGTCTTGTTCCAGAATTTTGAGTTTTGTGTGCATTATCTGTTTTACAAACCTGGCTTATCTTTGTGTAGACTGTTGGTTCCTCGCCTGTCAAGCAAATGCACTCCACTTCAAAGGAAACACCCTAATAATTAGTAGACTTTTATGGTACGTTAATTAGGGGGCGGTAAGCCTATCCCCTGTTCCCCTAATAAGGCCCCGGAACACTTGGAGCTTTAATGAAAGATACAACAAACATACAATCACAGACCACAATGGAAGATGCAAATTTACCAATGTGGAGTGCCATCTCTGGGTCAGCATCTTTGTCAACGTACACATGACAAACACCTGCACTGTAGCCCAACACAGGGATCCCCTGGCTTAGCTGACTGATGCGGTTAGCAAGTTCTTCTGAGCAACGGGGAATCACCAGGTCAATCAACTGTCTCAGCTGAAGCAGATCTGCAATGTCATCTCTTCGACTTACCTGTTGGAATTAAGGTCAGGGTAATTCTATAGCATCACCAACATACAGCTTATGGACAGGATAAAATTCCAGTAAATCAACAGGTGAGGAAAAGATGGAGTGTCTGGATAGGACATACACCAAGAAAATCTATGGGGGCTGCATGGTCTGAGGCATGGAGTCTGCCTCTAGTGCTAGAGATTCCGGGTTCAATCCCCGGTAAGGGCTGGGATTTTTTCACGTGGACTGGGACTTCTAGTAATTCCCCCTGGTCTATGGGTAGTGAGATCGGATGTTAGTATGCATTGATGTGCAGTTGGAAATCGAAAAGAGTAGCTGCCAGGGCAAAATTTTGAGTTACAAATCTACCCAAAATATTTCAGGATCCTTGCCGGTGCTACAGAGCATGTGCACTGTGCTGAGCTATTTCGGACTCAGACTTGAGTTAGAAGATGAACAGAGCACTTATAGGCAACTATCCGTGTGCCATGATGTTGATCCGTTGTTCAAAACTTCAAACTTCAAGAAAATCTAATAGATTAAAAGTTTTTTTTTTTTTTTGAATTCTCTGACCGTGGCAATTCTTCTTGCTGTAAATTCTTTTACAGCATGCTTGTTAGGGAGCATTGAGTCTATTCATCCCCCCCACAATGGGGCTCCTGACCCACATGGGGATTAGTCCTAATGCTTTCACCTCTGTCTTCATAAAACAAATTATACCCTTGTGGGATGCAATTTTTCATTATTTTGAAGCCCCACCCTGGCTCTTGCCAGGGGCTGCAATATAGCCCAGCCATAAATATGGCCTAATGGCTAAACGCGGTTTCCGGAACTTCTCCACGGGTGATCCTCATCCACATGGTGGCACCTTGTGTCATCGGGTGTTTATCACTTATGTGATGTCCAGGTGTGGTAAAAGTACTACTACTACCACCTCTGTCTTCACATTGCTACCATTATTAAGTTATCTTTGGCTTACACCTCTTTCACATTTCTTCTGCAGTCAACACTGCAATATTTCTTGTGATAACGTTAAGTAATGTTGAAAATATGGACAATCGAAATTTAGAATGTGTTTGTGACAATCATGTTTGTAAGCAACTCTTGGTTGCAGTTAATGTTTGGCCACACAATTTTGATTATTCTTCCAAAGCTAGCTCCATTCAAAGATATTAACATGGCAACAACAAACAACAACAAAATAAAACAACAAGCAAATTATAAAAATTAACAGCTGTCATAAATTTTACTGCTTCTCTCTTCTTCTTCCTTTTTAGTGTTCACAGGCTTTCTCAATGTAAGTTCTGGTTGTTCATCCATTTCTAGATCTTGTTCTTGTTCTATATCTTGAGTGTTGTGTGCACATCTGTTTTACAGATCTATATTATGTGTCTGCAGACTGTTGGTTCCTCACCTCTCAGGCGCTGCACTGACTTTGAAGGAAACTTCCCTAACTAGTTGCCTTGTATTACATGCTAGATATGGAGGTAGTGTGTATATTCTTTGTTTCCCCCAGAATGAAGTCCTGGAATCCACTGTGGGACTACAGTTTCTTATTTGGGTGACACTCTACTGCAAGAGAAGGACAGATTCAAATCTATCAGAGTTATTTAGTACCCACACCACTCAGGCAAGATGAATGCACAGTGATGTATGAAACGATTATACAAACAAAAAAAAATCGCATATACAGGAAGTAAACAGATGCAACACCAATATTTTACCAAAAGAAAACCTCAAGAATCCAACATCCACACAAGACATGACCTGAAACTACAATCAAACACCCACACTAAACATGACCAGAAACATCCACAATCACACACCCATGCAAGACATGACCAGAAACATCTACAATCACACAAGACATGATAAACATATCCACAATCACACACCCACACAAGACATAACACATCCACAATCACACACCCCAAAAAGACATGACAAGAAACATCCACAATCACACAGCCGCTCCAGATAATACAAAAACGTACTCACACACACTCTCAAAACACTTTATGACAACAATACATATTTACCAATGCTACTGTTTCTACTGGTGCATATGGCTCAAGAGCTTCCTGAACCAGAGAAAACAGAAGCTTATTACTGTGCTTGGCTTCCCTCCCACCTTTCAGCAAAAGCCCATTTCCACTACAAATAGATAGAGCTGCTACCTGTAACATATGTGAGATATACAACTATATCAGCGGCACAGAAACAATATAACTGAATTGAGTTATATTTCCCATCAGTCCCAGGGCTTCTCAAAACATGTCATGTCACTAGTGAAAAAGTATGAGAAGCTCTGGAGTATGGATTTTTTGTGTGTGATAAACACTTGTTTTTAACTCTTTGACTCCCAAGGAATGCATCATACGTCCATAGGTTCCTATCTAGAAGCCCAATGAACGCATGATGCACTGATTTTATTACTTTCTTTACTACCCCCTGGGCCTGTGATGCTAAACCACCTGGGACTCTCGAAGAGTTAAGTGTAAATATTCTTATATAGAATGTCCCTATCACTATTTATTAGTGTTATAGCAGAATGTCCTAGGTACTATTAGTTATTGTCATAAGTTAGTGTTATGGGAAAATGTCTTTATGACTATTCGTTGGTGCTGTAGCAGAATTTCCCTATAATTATTCGTTAAGATTACAGCAATAATAACAGTACACTTCATTGTACGATACCTGAGGCAAGGCATCTGGACGGGATTCAAAGACAGCCAGCAGAACACCAATTAGGTACTGTTTTCTTCTCCAAAATCATACCCTCTGCCAGAAGAGTTCTCTGAACAACTTTCCCCAAAGCATTCACAGAGTCTGCACCAATTTGACGAATTCCCTTGGCTAAAGTTTCCAATTTCTGGTCACTCAAATACAGACGAGCCATATCTGCCTGTGACATACCTGAAAAGAAAGAAGGTGCACTGTCTTATCTGTTTGCTTTCTGTTAAATAATTACTCACACACACAGAATCACACCATAAGTTGTTATCTTTTACAGGATGTAGCAGAACCAACCCCCAGCATTTCCACATTATAAACAGAAAATCACATACTAAACATGAAAAACATAAGAATCACATACTTAACATGAAAAACATAACGCAGAATTAAAATCACAATGTTGTTTTGTTTGTTTTAGTATCCAGAAGCCATGAGTTGTTAACCCTTAGGCTCGGTATTATGGATATCGCAACCTTTCGGCCTTGATTCCATTGTAAATACCGTAAATCTGTTAGAAAATGTGGCTTTCCTGCCTACCCCCGGGATTGAACCCGGACCACAAGGAGTACGTCACCCGGTCTCCGCGAAATCCGGTTTAGCCAATTCCGCTAGAGAGCCGAGCAAATTCACAATGTAAACATGGTGAATAACAATACAATTCAGAATCACACTTATACTGAGTTAGGAATTAACACATAGCACTGAACATTCTCAAGACTGCTCGGTCATCTTCAGCCACCAGGAAAGAGATTCAGTTCTCATGGTATCCTAAGCAGTCAGATTGTATATTCATCTTAGTTCTTCCTTCAGTGGTGACTGCCAGCCAGATTTCCTGGCCTAAACATGGCAAAACTACATACATATTATTCTAGAAACAGTGCAAGTGAAAAACAACTGATCAAACCACACTCTTATTTATTACTAACACTGCTTTCCCACTATTATTAGACTAAAAGTTAAATGTTGCTGATCTATATACATGCAGTAGCTTGCCTTTCCACAATCCAGGAGGACACTGAACTGAGATACTGTTGTAAAAGTCTGCTTTCTGTTCAGACTGGCTTTTTGTAGCTCCATTTTAAAACAAGCATTAAACAAAATTCATCCTCCTCATAATTCCTTGGAGTGTAGTTGGGTCACCACTTTCTGGAGATTGTGATCAGCTCCCTCCACCTCTGTCAGTTAAAGATAACAGACTTGATGTCTGCATGTTTGAGGACTGCCCATGCATGCAGATTATGTACCCAGGTCTTTCTTGGTCTACAACTTCTTTTCCCTTCTTCAGAGCCCTGCGGTATCATTTTGGAGAGGTTTAACATGTCCGTACCATAGCATTTTCCTTTCTTTCACTGTTATTAATAGAGGTTCATAACAGCTATTGTGCTGAGTGATAACATGGCGAACTTCATCATTTGTGATGTGGTCTCTGTATCATATACTAAACAAAATTAAGAAGTTATTAAATTAAGATGGAAATTAATGTGTCTTTTGTTAAAATAAAGTTACTCGCTACAAACCTGAAGCAAACGCTTCTTGCACATCTTGCTGATTGGCTGCCAGGACATCAGACTTATGTTGTATGAGAAGATCTGCAAACCTGTTGACTATCGCTGCTCGGTGAATACCAGACAATGATTGTAATGTTCTGCTTCCATCACGAGCTATAGACACAAAGGTTTTGAAAATACAAGTGAAAAAATAAAGTATTCAAGAGATTTATTTATCAAATAAAATTATGTGTAACAAATACCAAGCTTGATGAAGCACACTAAAGATAAAGAAAATGACAAAATTAGAACAGAAAGAAATTATGAAATCAAGACTGGAATTATATCTTGAAACATCATTTCAGTCTATATCACATAATGGAGTCAAAACTGCTTTTTTTTTTTTCTAGTTCTAGGTTTAAATTTTTGTTAATTCTGAACATAATATGGTTAGTCCTCTTCTGCATTTTATATTCTCATTGAATAATGTGTCCTGAACCAACTCACATGCCTTTTGCAGACTTCATGATAAGTTGAATCTTGCAGCTAAATTTTACTGTGTGGTGAGATAACCAGTCTCACCACAACTCTTTAGTTATCTCTTACAACATGTACCAGCTGCTATAGTTGTACTATTCTTCACTTCCCATATAAGGCCTAGTAAGACATGAGTGGTAAAGGATTGAGAAGAAGGAAAAGAAGAAGAAGAAGGAGGGAGGAGAAGGAGGAAGCAATGACAAATAGGGAAGAGGAAGAGAAGAAGATGAAGACATGGGCATAAATCTAACAATGCAGACAAACATGGAGTTATAGTACACAGTAACCTTCACAAAACTACACAAGTTAAAACACTTGATTATCAGCACGTTTTGCATAATTGCCAAAGCTTGGTTTAAAAACGATTTTAAAAAAATGTTAGGTAAAAAAAAAACTAAAAAAAAAAACGCATACCTAGTTTAGCCTGAAGATCTACTGGAGTTCCTCTTGCCTGAGCCTTGGTGAAGAATGTACCAACCTTCCTCCCTTTCACAATATTGACGACTGCATTTTCCTCACAACCATTGCAGATAACCACAGAGCAGTTCTTTGACAATGCATAGGTTGCTGCCCTTACCTACAGATGTTGAGCATGAATACACTTTACAGATAAAGGCGGTTCCAAAACAGATACCTTCAGGAGATTTTAAAAGTCATGTAACATCAAGAACAAACAAAGACACCAAGCAGTCACATTGCTTAACAATACATGGAAGTCAACAGGACCTCGTGTGAAGACAAAACTCAGAATATATATAGCAATAACATTTTGGGAATACTACTGTACAACATTGTGGGTAGCGTCTAGACACAGCCTGCAGATCCAAAGACGTGGGTTCAGGTCCTCATAGAGCCAGACTTTTGTCAAAAATGAACTTGGTTCCCAGGTCGACCGAGCCTTGAATAGGCACCAGATAAAATCCTGGAAAGTACAGGCAACTGGCACATTGTGAACAGATAGATCATCCACCGCATGCCAATTGGTCTATAAAATATAGGTCTAGCCCTATAAGCCCAATATGTCTGAAGGATTGGAAAAGGATTCTTTCACTATGCAGTAGTTGAGTGTTAGAAAAGTATAGTGTGTGTTATGCATACACTAGAGAGACCTCAAAATAACTAAGGAAAATCCTATGAATATATTGGCCAAACAGGATTACAAATAAAAAACTGAGCAGAAAAATAAAATGTTCATCAATTACAAATTTTATCAAAGGAAGATGGAGATGGACATGACTGAAAAGACTGGCAACTGAGATATTAAACTGAAGGCACAAAGCAGCACACCACAGCAATGGAGACCACTTGTGAATGCCTTGTGTCAACAATGATATGTGGAGGATATAAATATCAATGGCAGAGTGGCCAGATGCTCATGAGGCAACCCAAATGTCTCTGAACTGGCACTGCAGTTGATTTTTTTTTTTCATAACTGATCTTTGCTAGTCTAAAATGGGTACCAAGCAATGTTCCGGGAAATAAAGCAGGTATGCGTTATATTCACATTAACATGTGCTGACTGGTTAATAAAAATAACATTATATGCCTGATGTGCACTCATGAACTGAGCAAACACAGCCTGAAAAAAAAAAAAATGGGAAAAAAAAGAGGCTCTGACATTCACAGTGCAAGGCAAACTGCTTGAACCACTTCACCATGGAAGCCCCTTTGCAATTAGAGTAACTGACTGCAGTTCATATAGTAGTCTAAAGAATGAAGAAAAAAGATAATATGTAGTAAACTTAATGTTGATAACTTTAAAACTGTATTAACATATGAGAAGTTTCTGGACAGTTCACTGCCTCACTAACCTGTGAATCCATGCCCCCAGTTCCAACCCTGGACTTGCCAGCAATAACAATTTGGTCCATCTCTGGGCAGTAAGTGTGCAGAAGTCTGGAATCTGGCATGCCAGGTGGGGATGTGTACAGCCCATTGACATCACTCAGGATGATCAACAGTTCACATTTCAACTCAGATGCAAGACGGGCGGCCAGGCTGTCGTTATCTCTTACACTTATCACCTTTGAATAAACACACCATGTAAAAATCCTTATGTGCTCCGATTTCTTTGTGATGTTGCTACTGACCGTTAAAAAAATAAGACACAAAGGAAACTGTTCACTGATGACAGACAGACAGTCGTTATCAGTTCTCTTGCACTTATCACCTATGAAAAAACACACAATCTATCATGTAAAAATCAATGTATCTTTGAATTCCTTGTTATGTTGTCATGAACTGTTAAAAAAGACACAAAGGAAAATGTTCACTGACAACAGACAGAGATAGTCATTTTCAGATTTTTTTTTTTTAAATCCCAGAAATAAAGGTGCTGGTACTGGCCACAAAGTGTCTGGAAGGAGATCAAAAAAAAAAAGGTATCTTTGTACAGCCTCATGACTTAATCTGTTAGAAGTTTACCCTTTATAGGAGGCTAATCCCAGAACTTGTTGGCTGTTTTGTTATTTATCTAGACAACTTTAGTATATTCAGACATTCAATATTTTGCCATTGCCCACTGAACGGTATATGCTCAAAGTATTGTCAAAATTAATGCACAGTGGTCTGCTGCTAAACTGCCTGCATCTGAATCAAACACAGTATGTCAGAACTACAAAACTAGGACCATAATTACTTAGCCAAAGATCCCTATCTGTTAAAGCACATGATATAAAAAATTTCTACAACTGTAAGATGGTGTATACAAATATCACAAGGAAAAATAACAAAACTTACCCCAGATAAATCTATATCTGGTTCTGCAGGATCTGCCACCACATCATTGGCGTTGACGATGGGGATGATGCTCAACCTAAGCAACTCATTCATCGTCTCTTTGAGATTCTCCTTACTAGTCTCATTCTGGAAGTCGGGTTTGGTGAGTAAAATCTGGCAAAACAGGTAGTCAACAAATGAAACAATTATACTGTTGAGTTTCATAAACTGTAGACACAGAAAAACACATTTTATACAAAAAGGTCAGCTCTAAATGTACTTACTTAGTCACTCTTCTACCTTAGTGTGTAAAGATTTTCCAGAGATGGACAAACTTCTGTCAGATTTAAACGCATCAACATCAAGTGCTTTACCAAGTGAATACTCATGCCTCTTCACAACGAATATAAATCCAAACATATAATCCTTGTATGAGACAAATATGGAGATTTTTTTTTAAGACACCTTGACCAAACTTAAGATATTTTTCTTCTTTTCATTCATTCAAGTGACATAACCGTGTTGTGCCTGTTTACCACAAAGCTTCGTTATTTGCACCATCAGGCCAACATATCCAACTTCATCAGACATTTGGTTCACCGGGTTAGCCTTCCCATAAATCATGAGCTTTAAAAAACATACATAATGTACTGATTTGTGTGCATACATAATATCCAATAAAACAGTGCATTGCTTGGGAAAGAAAGAGTTAAGTACTCTTTTGTAAAACCACATCACTGAGGCCTCAATGAACTTTTTGGCTTTGCTAATTTTTCAGGATTGACACCAATTAATACTATTTGTATGCAGCAAAGTAAAAAATTTTATTAAAATTTCAAATATATGCATGCACAGTATTTACTGCTGGTGTGGGGTAAATAGAGAGAGGTATAGTACATCACCATGAGTGACAACATATCATAAGGGATAGTCCAGGATCATATTTCTCCTTCTGTTCAAGTTCACCTTGAGTCGTTTTTGGCAGGTTGTGTTTTACTGCTAGGCAGCGATATCTGTGCTTTTTAACCCAACAATCCAAACACTTGATCAGTTGTCTTTCATAGCATATTTGCTAAGAGACAGCAAGGCTAACCCCAATGCAACAATGGCTTCAGCTGTTCAACTGTGGGTGGTGACCCATTTAGAGGTCAAACGACCCTTTCACCGAGGCCACCTAAGGCTATTGAAAAACACAAATTTATCAAAGTTTTGAAATAGCGAAAATAATTTTATGGTTGGGGGGTCACCACAACATGAGGAACTCTATTAAATGATCGCAGCATAAGGAAGGTTAAGAACCATGATTAAGATCAACAACAGTCTGCGGCACAAGTATACATTGCCTTTCTCTCGAATTCTCTCTTCTTGTTATGTGTGTGAGCATAAGTGCATTATGTGCATGCATACATAAATTAAGCAATTAAAACTGAAGTGTTGACAAGATACAAACATTATTTCTTCCTTGGACTAAAAGATAAAAACATCTTTTTACAGAAGTACAAACCCTATATGTCTATAAAAATAAACAGGATTTCTGGTTGGAGTAAAGCTAATTTACCTGGGCTGTCTTGACACCATACTGGGTAAACATAGCATCGTACAAACTCATCAAACCACCCTGGCCTGCAGCAGCACATGCCCTGGGCTCCAGAGTAGATGCACGAACCTTAAGAATGTAATGAAAATCTACTTTATATGACATGATGGCTGTTAATGAAAAATGATGGGTCTCATGGAGATCATATTTGCAGTGAACACAATGATACATCATGACAATGATGTACATCTAATCAACATGGACATCATGACTGATGGGTTTTTTTCCTTCAAATTTTTAAGTTTTTTCACTCCAGATTTGCACTCTGTATGATTAACAAACATCTCAAGGATGAGAATCAAACAGCTACAAATCTCAGAAACCCTGTTCAATCGAACAGCCATTTAGCAGTTATACTGGGGTTCCACTAAAGTCCAGAGTGGGTGGGCTTTGTGATTTTACTCGTGACTGCTAATGAATTTGACAAGTACCTCATGAAAATCTAAAATTTAAAACACAAAATCCACCAGTAGCTGTCAGAAAATTACACATTTTCAACAAGGCTTCTACATCCTCACGCAGAGTGGGCGGTCACATCTGAGAGGGACCTGAACCGTCCAGGAGGGCAGTAGCAGCATCAAGTGCAGACAGTGGCAATGAATATACGTAAGATAGTGGTTAAAACAAAAAAGACGATGGGAAAATTAAATATTTTCATTAACTATCCGAGGCGAAGCCAGGTAATTAAATCTAGTCATTATTTGAAATGCAACTGTACCATCGACTCCTGTATCTATTTGTTCATATTGTAACTTGCTAACAACTTTCTAGAACAGATATATAAATGTTTTTCTGAACTTTGTTTTTTTTTTTTTTTTTTTTTTTTTTTTAATTGTAGTTTAGCTGGTACTGCTGCTTTTAACTAACCCAAACTGTTCAGATAATTATCAATTTTATTTTGAACTGTATCTGTTATCTTGATTAAGTATCTTAGATATATGGCTCATTTAGTAACAACTTTGTGTTGATTTGAACAGTGGTATCGACAGCAGACCATTCAGCAAGCAATGGCAACCTACTGATCCTAAAACTGCCTAGCAATATCAAACATCCAACAAATGCTGATGTTGTTTCTGTAATGTCCTGTAAAGGATAAGCAACTATCTTCTTCTTCTTAGGTTAACAGTTTTGTAGTATTCACAATTAACATATTTTTTCTAAGCAGTATAATATATGTGTGTATATGTATATATATATATATAAAACAACATCAAAGTTGGATACACTATCAACTTTCCTTAAGGCAACAGTACCCTTAAGTTACAATCTACTATACTAGCATGCAGGCACAAACAACTCATGTTTAAAATCAAAGTATATTTACCCTGCTCCAAGCACTCTGTTGCTGTGGTTTCAGAAGAAAATGTTTAAAACCATTAAATGTGGTCGCTCTGGATTTTAACATATCTAGGAGTTAGATTATTAGTAACAACTTTTAGAAATAACAGAACATTCAAACAGTGCAGAAGCTAAGTTACCTAGAGATAACAAAAATGATCAAACATAAAAGTAAGGCACTCTCTGTGCAGCTTTCATGGTGACTCAAGATCAGAAATTATCCTCACTTGTCAATTCAGCTATGAGTTGAGTCCAGAATTGACATCACAGTACTCGAGGCATTCTCCCATGGGAGCTCCGTCCTCATCTTCAGCAGTGAGAGCAGAGTTCCAATACTGATGGTACCGGTCACAATCTGGTTATATGTCCGCCTTGCCTTTCCTCCTCTGAATGTAGTGAGCCGTGTCAATTCAGCTGTTTCATCACTAAACATTTCTGAATTACTGGTCAGAATATAACTGTCCCCCCCCCCCCCCCCAAAAAAAAAAAAGCAAACTCTGTGTGGGTTCCGGCCACATTGGGAAAGGGGGGGGGGAACCAGACACACTATCTCCCAAACAAGCATGTCGCTAAAAGGTGACTAATAAGGGATTTTTTTTCTCCAAAGTCAGAGTGCATCTGCCTGAGAGGTGAGAAACCAACAGTCTGCAAAGAAGTAAGCCAGATCCATAAAATGGAAGTGCATGCAGCATTCAAGTTTTTGAACAATTGCATGCAACATTAACATTTTTGTTGCAAAAGGGGACAAACAACCAGAAAGTTAACAGCCTGTGAACACTTAGAAGAAGAATAATCAAAGCAATTATCTGCAAGTTTGAAGTTACTGCTGGTGGGGGGGGGGGGGGGGGGGTGCTAATACAGTGGTTAGTGCTCTGGTCTAACAGCAGAGTAGTTCAGCATACAATCTTCAGTAGCTGAAATTGTTATCCTAGTCAGCACAGCACTGTATCTCAGCTTTTACAAGCAACTGTAGCCCTCACTATCACTTTAAAATGCCATGATACTGGCAAATAAACTGGTCTGCATTGCATTTTTGTGACTTGCAAGACTTGTCCAGACAATTATTTGCTCTCTAGTAAAGTAAAACTACTGGACGTTAATTAGCCTTAAAAAAAAACCACAACAGCCAAAAATGTTGGGGTTGGTTCTGCAATGTCCTGTAAAGGATACGCAACTAAACTAGTAAAGTTAAGGTAAAGGAAACTTTTCTATGCCTTTGGGCATATTAGGCATATAAGGCTAGACCTATATTTCATAGACCAATCAGCATTTGGTAGGTGATATGGCAGATACCCACTTAAGGCTAGGTTGACCAGGGAGTCAAGGTCATTTCTGAAAAAAAAAAAAACTGGCTCCGTCAGGACATAAATCCACGACCCTCCAATCCTCAGGCGAGCATCTAGCCGCTACACTATGGTGACTTCCTTGCTCTCTAGACATATTGGAAATATTGTTAACAACCTTAGTAAAAACACAAGCCAGATGACAGTAGGTTAGTCTTTAACCACAGTATAAAGGTACCAATATAACTTTTATACAGAACTCCCCACTTATTGGATAGTTGTTTATCTGCTCCTTTGAGTATTTCTGCTGTAATATCATCACCCACTGTCTTGTTATTTGCTAGGGAATGTATTATTTTTGTAAATGGTTCCTGTTAAATAAATTATGTTAACTAATTTAACAATTTGACAACTTACATCATTTTCAATGTTATGGAGATTCTGTCTAAGACTCATGGACAAAACAGCTTCATGGCGCAGTTTCTGTTTCCCAAATGCCACAGCTCCACTGGTTACAATTATCATTTCCCTACCTTGATTCTGAAGCTCTGCCACCTGCAATACAGTAAAGTAAAATAAAGGACCTTTTTCCATGCCTTCAGGTGTATTGGTCATATAAGGCTAAACCTATATTTTAAAGACCAATCGGCACTGTGAGTGATGTGGTCAAAATCGTGCCCAGGACTTTACCTGGTACCCATTTGAGGTTAGGCTGATTTGGCAGCAAAGGTCATTTAAAAAAAAAAAAAAAAAAAAAGTCAGGCTCTTTCAGGAAATGAACCCATATTTTTCAGATCTGTGAGTGAGGGTCTAGCGACTATACCATGTTGGCTCCTGCAAAATAGGGGAAATATATATTCTAGCTAGGTTATTCACACAGTACTTCTGAGGCTATGATATCTACATCTGATTGCACAGACCTGGTTAGACAAATAGCGAAATTGTGGAATTTATTAACTGAGAAAAGTATAGTTAACTTTCTCGATGTAAAAGTACGAACTAAACATCTAGCTTCTTAAGGTAAGAACATAAACACCTGAGGATCTGTATGTATGTTAATAGTGGCTGGAAATGTAAAAGTCTGTGTGGGTTTCAAGACCCCATTCTCAGAGGGAAAACAGAACAGGTAGAAGTTGGTGAAGTCTTATGTGTTGGGTAAAAAAAGTGCAGATAGTGCAGATATGGCAGCAAAACTAAACCACAACACTGCATGCCAGCCACTATTACACAGGTGAACAAAAAAGAAGAAAACAAGAAAGTGAGGGGGGAAAAAAGTATAGGATCCGTTTTACGTCACACCAGTGGTGCGTCCGGATGCAATGCTAGACTCATATTTTTACTGACCAATGAGGACTTGGTGAGTGATGTGGTCACCATCATGCCGGCCACATTTTTACTTTTCAGGACTTTTACCTTGCACTCATTTTTCGGCTGAGTTGACCCATTTAAGTTAAGCAGAGAAGGTCAATTTTGAAACAAATGAGTCACAATGCATATTTGAATCCAAGACTTTGAGCTGGCAGGTGAGCAACTTGCCACTATACTACCGTGGGTCCCCAAACGTAAAAGAGCAGACTTAAGAGCTTTTGGTCACACTATATTTAAAAACAGCTGCTGTATTTTCCTCCATATAATGACAAAGGATATAGTTCCATCACACAGCTACTAAATTGAATGCATAGTGCAACACTGAGATGCAGATTTCATTTGGAATGCTTTTTGACTGTGCCTAACGTGGCTTGTATTGTGAACTGTAGATTTATAAAATGGTGAGTAGCCTGTTGCCATAGATAACTGGTGGTGCCTTATGCAACTACTGATTTGTTGTACCTGCTGCTTCCATCAACAATGTGTCAAACTGATTGTGGTGGCACTCCTGATGGCTACCTTGTGCATTGTATGCCATTACCTATGCTGAGCTGTAGTAATTGTCAATTTTCTCTCAAGGAACAGCGATGGACATTTTAGTGTGGTTTTCACTGGCACAGAAACAAAGCAGCTATGTGGTGACCCGTTTGCTGTGAAATTGGAACTGTGATTACCTAATATATTTCAAGATTTGAAAACTACCCACATTAGAATATTTATAGCATGGTTATTGTTACATACACATATTTGGATCGTGTTCAGTGTTATGGGATTAGTGAACTGTACTGAGATTCTCCTTGTCCAATCTGTATCAACAGGCTGCAGTACTTATGGACATATACATGTGCAATAAAAGAATTATCGCAAAGAAAATCAAAAGAATGTACAGATTTATTTGACCTATACATAGCATATACTGATATGTGAACAGAGATGAGGCAGCTACTGATGAGGAAGAGCACTACATGTACTGTAAGGAAGGTTAGCATGAGAATGGTAACCTCCTTCTAGATAACATTTAACCCTTTCACCATGGTATCACTAAAAAATTGGGTCATGTCTCCGTGGGAATTCTACAGA